TCACACAGTACTGTACCAGAGCCCTGACAGTGGACATGTTGATACATGGTTCCCTTTATCTTGCCTGGTCGGGCTATTTATTTTGGAAACGCTTCTGAATGTAAAGGGCTTGCCATTTTCCATTATCTGTGAAAGGCTAGTCTTTGTTCCTCTGTGGAGGATTCCTCTGGTTCAGCTGGAAGAGGATCTTTTCAGAAAGCCTGCCATGGTGGGACATGCCTCTCAGTGGACTTGTGTGATTTGGTCTGATTCTTCGCTCTTTTCACTGGACTGACTTGAAAAGTGGCTTTTTGTTTTTGAATAGATTTTCACCATCACAAATTTAAATATATATTTGTATAAAAGTAATCCATGCAGAACACATTTTTGAAAGCAGTCTTCTTGTGTTTTGAAGACAACTCTGCAGTTTTCTGCATTCTTTTTTGGTTTCACACAGCAGATGGGGTTCCTATGAGGTACACTGTATTTGATTTGATCATGACTTAGAGGGGTTTCTGTGATAAACTGAGCCTTTTGGATAATCCTATCAGATTACCATTTGCATTCCAGCATACATTATTCATTTAGTGTCTGCCTCTCCAATTAGTCGAAGTCAGGTTTTTCTCCGGAGAGGTTTTAACATCTGTGCAACGCTGGAAATCCTGCAGGAGATTTGAGCTAATCAGCCACAGCCTCATCAGCTCTTCAGAGGTGTGTTTGCCTGTGTGTTTAGTCTTTTTGCTTTTCATTCCCTCACTCTTTCTTGCTCTGTCTTGATCTGTCCTGGGCACCATGCTCCAGTGGGAGCTTCCTCTCTGTGAGCGAGACAAAGGATCAAGAGTGCTTGATAAAATACCACTGCCATGCCTGTCAATGAGGGCGGTGCCCCCTCACATCCCCACTCGGCTCGGGATCGACCCTTTGCCAGTTTCCTTTTAAAGATATTTTTGCTGCCCTTGCACCTGGATTCCACACCCTTAACATCTTAACCGGTGCTCAGTGCCATCTGTTGAACCATCCAGCATTTTATGTGGTTTGTTGTTTTGGCTGTTGTTTTATGCCTTTTTCTCCACGGCTCTCCAAAGATGTGTGCCGATTTATGCCATAGATAAAGCAGATTCTCTGACGGCTGTCTGACTACATCTCACCACAGTCTAGACTCCAGGCTTCACCCGCTGACTCGCTGTTTGCTTCTGTGCCTGCCTTCTTCCTGACTGACTGTCTTTTTGAGTCGCTGCTTCAAGGCTTAAAGAACTTGACTGCTTGACAGATTATTTGACTCTTTGACTTCTTCACTCTTGTTTTTGAAGCGAATCATTGGCTGGATTGATCTGTGCTCCTCATGCTCCTATGGGGAGTGATACTCCCCTGCCCCGGTCTCACTTTCTTTTTTCTGCTTCTCAGACACAACAATCTTCCCCTAGGACTACATTGCTGCCTTGAAACTTGTCTTTCTTTTATCTATCTTGATTTATTTTATGTTTATCCTTCCCTGCTCTTCATGAAAGGTTTAATTTTTGTCGATTTAGTTTATTAGTGAATGCTCTCACAGTTTGGAAGACACATTCTGCAAGGGCGGTGCACCTGAGCCGGAGAGAATAATTCTTTGTTCCCTGTGTCTACCCGTTCCTGAAGGATGAGAGTGTTAGGGAATGACAGCTCTTTGTAACCTGTTTTTTTCTCCTAGCTGTTTATCCAGGAGCTGTCTTTCCTCCTATATGGTTTTCATTGAAAAAAGCAGAATTTGAGTGCTTGTGCTGAATGAGACAGGTGGTGCTCTGATCTTTCCATGTAGTCATCACTAGAATCTTAATGCAAAGAGAGCAACAGCCACATAAACATAGCCTGGGGTTGAGGTGTGCACTCTGAGCGTTAGATTTGCTCAAACCCCTGCTATGACCCAGCACATCCAAAAGCAATACCTTTGCACTTGCCGTAAGCAATTGAAGGTCTAAGGAAAGGCATGATTAGCATGAAGAAACAGTAGACTACAACCCTCTACGCACACGTTGGCAATATAATCGCCATTGGCTAGTACATTTTTTTGTTTACTCGCCAGACTGATATACTATTTTACACGCGCACACACACACACACACACACACACACACGCGCGCGCACGCACACACATACACGTTTACTTAGCTATCTAATTGGGGATATTACATAGACTTCGATTGCTTTTATATACAGATAGTTATACAGTTTTTAACCTAAACCCACCCCTAACCCTACCCCTCACAGAAAACTTTCAGCATTTTTACAATTTCAAAAGTAAAAAAAAACGTTTACTTTATTTTTATAACAGTTTTACAAATGAGGACATCCACAAATTGAGGTTTTTGCCGATTTTGTCAGGTTTTGCTCACTTTTGGGTACAAATTTGTCTCCAATATATGGTTAAGTAGGTACACACACACACATGATTCCACCCAATCATCTTTGTAAAATGGAACAGCTTCTTAAATAACTGAATGTGCACTCTTCAGCCAATCAAGTATTATATTATGATATTATGATAATTAAGCACTATTTAATGATAGAACTAGTGATTAGAACTAAAACTTATTATTATTAAAAGATACTACTACTACTATTATCTGCTGGGTTCATGAATATTAATCACGTTGTCAGCGTTCGCTCGAACTGATTTGCTGAAATCAAAACAGGGACGGTAATAGATGAGCGCCAACCAACGAGAGCTGTTCGCGCATTAGCTCCGCCCACTGCCGAGAAACCGGCATATCTTCTGCTTGTTCTTAAAAGCTGAGTAATTCTAAATGAACGCTGTTATTTTGACAGGAAAATACAACAAATAATATGGTTTACATGTAGCGCGTCGATTCAGCGTGGTATGCAAGACTCTCGCTCTCTCTCTTTGCATGTGTGAGAAACAGCGCTATCAGTAAAGCGACGGCGAGTCATGCGCCTTCACACTAGTTTACGTTACGTCAAATACAGGTGTGCTGCGTGCTATATACTGCGCATCCATTGAGAACATGACATGATCCATTGAGCGCATCCAAATAGTACAGATCGCTTGACGGAGAGCGAAACTCTCAATTAGTTTTTTAAGACATGGTCTCCAGTGTTTTGACATTGTATATATTTTAGTTAATTTTGCTTGAACTAAAATGCCATCTGATTTTAATCTACAAAAATATAGTTTTATATAACTAAAGTGCAATTATATATTTTATATAATGCTATATTAGATACATTTTATATAATGATATAAAGTTCTTTTGTATGATTATTGTGGTCTTTTTGTCTTGTGATTCTCTTTGTCCCTTATCTTGATCATATTCTCAGCCATCCTTAGCCATCCTTATCTGTTCTGATAAATGAACTGGCATTTTCTTGCTTATCACGTACAAGGCATAGCTACACTCTTGTGTTTCCAGTGTAACGCTGATCCTGACACGCTTGAGGTTGTCTTACAGCTCTCATTAAGGGCTAGTTTTACAAATGGCATCACGGCTGTGAGAATTTAATCCGGCTTGTGTTCTAAGGGTGGTTATCTCCATTGTACTGGCTTTAATATGACAAATAGGCCTCCGCTGTCCCGCTTTGCACAAGAAACAGAGCTGCTAGTGGTGTGTTCACAATAGGGGTTGTGATTCCTGCTGAATAATGGTGGCATGCTTGTAATATCTCTGGTTTATTGCCCCCTTCTCTCCTGAATCATTACTAGTACGGAATGCACTATTCGCCTTAAGTGTACTGTTGCGAACACAGCTACCAGTATTTGTGGAGTTTGTTTCCACCGCTGTCTCCATAGAAATCCAAACCCATGCACATAATTGAATTATATCTGAGACATGAATTAAACATGAGACATGATTCATTGACATTTTCTGGGTGGAAATAAACAATGGCAAAACTGTTATTGTTTTGTCCCTATTTGTGTGGTTGTATTGGTTTCATCCAGCTCAAGTCAATTATATTAAACAAATTCTCATTACAAGGAACGTTTATGCATGAATTCTCTGAAACAAATGAGGAGCAGGAGCCAGCGTTGTGTCATACTGGCATGAGTGTTACTAAAGGTAATGATTGTGCAATGAAAGAAGGATCCAGTTTGCTTTAGAGACCCTAAGGACAGAAGGAATGGTAGGTTTGTAGGCTGGTAAGTGAACAGTGACTGAGGTAGATCATGCCAGAGGCGATCCATCAGATGCTCATTGGCTTATCTAAGCCAAGCCTGGGCCTGGGGATCCAAATCATAGTGTGTGATAACTGTTTGCTTAATCACTGGTACAGGAGAACCCATGCACATAATTGAATTATATCTGAGACATGAATTAAACATGAGACATGATTCATTGACATTTTCTGGGTGGAAATAAACAATGGCAAAATTGTTATTGTTTTGTCCCTATTTGTGTGGTTGTATTGGTTTCATCCAGCTCAAGTCAATTATATTAAACAAATTCTCATTACAAGGAACGTTTATGCATGAATTCTCTGAAACAAATGAGGAGCAGGAGCCAGCGTTGTGTCATACTGGCATGAGTGTTACTAAAGGTAATGATTGTGCAATGAAAGAAGGATCCAGTTTGCTTTAGAGACCCTAAGGACAGAAGGAATGGTAGGTTTGTAGGCTGGTAAGTGAACAGTGACTGAGGTAGATCATGCCAGAGGCGATCCATCAGATGCTCATTGGCTTATCTAAGCCAAGCCTGGGCCTGGGGATCCAAATCATAGTGTGTGATAACTGTTTGCTTAATCACTGGTACAGGAAGAAGGAAATGAGCTGACTGTCAATAGGCTCCAGGAAATTAAATATGCTCCACATGCTGCAGAAATGAGATGGTGTCAGAGTTCTCCATGCCTGTGAAGTGACAGTGTTTTAATGCTGTTAAATATGGAAATATTTCCATAGGTTTGTAGTTATTTACCAAAAAGACTTTTCCATTTTGTTTTAATTCCTTTTTTTTATCAGGTTGAAATTTCAATCGTAACTAAATTCTGACATTTCATAAGGTCTGACATTCTTTATTTGTCTCCTTCTTTTCCAGTTTCTGTGTCTGAAGAACATCCGAACATTCCTGAAAGTGTGCCATGATAAGTTTGGCCTGAGGAACAGTGAGCTGTTTGATCCCTTCGATCTCTTTGACGTGAGGGACTTTGGGAAGGTGAGAAACAGTGGTTTTGCTGAGCACGCAGGTTATCTGAGACTATTAATCATTTTACACCATCATGTTTAAAGGGGTCCTATTATGCTCTTTTACAAAGGGTTGATTTTGTTTTGGGGGTGTACTAGAACATGCTCTCATGCTTGGTGGTTCGAAAAAAGCATTATTTTTCACATAATTTACATTATTAAAATACCTTTCTCCCCAGCCTGGCACAAATGGCTCGATTCGTTCCGGCTTTGATGAAGGTCCGCCTTCCGAAAAACAGAATGTGTTGTGATTGGCGAACAGCTTAGACGGTGTTTCAGTAATGCCACACTCCTTGCTCCGTCTTTCAACAAAAGCTTTTTGGCAAATCCAGCACTGTACTCCCTCGTGTTGTGGAAGCTGTCCTCAGTAAAATGTGCAGCACACAATAGCAAATGGGGGTTATAATGCTCAGGAACAAAAAAAAAAAAAGGAGTTAAAAAATAAATTGCAACCACTGTTTCCTGACATCATCCGCTTTCGGAAGCCCAAACAAAGACGTTTGGGCACGGAGGTGAAAAAAAAAACTGCGTTTCAGGAGGTCGCACACCGGACGAGAAGCGCAGTGCAGCGTCGCGTCGCGTCGCACCACATCTTTAAAATTCAAATACGTTATTTTCTATGAGTATAGGCACACTGGCGGCGCCGTTCGGTGTCTGTCCGCGGCGCCCAGCTACGTCGTGTTATACTTGTAAGAATTGTTGTAGACATGCCGAAAATTTGACGTTACAGCACAGCAGCTCTTCTTCTTCATTTTCTCTGATGCACTAACTCTGCAGCAGCACTTCTTCTTCATCGTCTCGTCTGATGCACTCACTCAACCAAGCGTTCTAACCACAACCTCGCCCCTCCCCACCCCCCAACCATTCGAATTTCTGTAGGCGGGAATTATTTTTAATGATATTCTAATGAGCCGCTTTGTGATATCACAAAGCCCGGAAACCAACGCTGTAGTCCAAACGAGCCATTCGTTGTAGTTCTTGAAAAGGGATTAAAAAAAAACTAAATATCTCCCTTTGGAGTGGACTTTGAGATTTGTAACTTTCTAGAACTTTTAAATGCCCAAACATAAAAGCATAATAGGACCCCTTTAAGTCTCCGTAGCTGAATGACATTAATGTTGTGTGCACTTTTTATGGGAGATTAACCCATAACTGAGGCTATTGTGCATAAGCTTTGTTCCACTACTCACAGCCCTCTCACACACAATCCATTAATGCTGGGGATAATATAAAAGTGTGTGCAATGCTTAATCGGCCCTGTGTGGATTTCTTCCCTCTAGTCTTTTCTTCTTCACTGCGTGTGTTGATTATTCACATGCATATTTGATCACACACCTCAGGGTCACAAGCGTGCCTGTGTGTGCCAGTGCATATCTGTGTCGCTACACATATGGTTTGTGTGTGTGTTTCCAAGGATTTCAACAGTACTCATTTTAGGTGACTGATGATCCGCTTTTAAAGTGATTTAGGGGTGAATTGTGTGGGAAAGATCTCGTAATTATTCACGGTACCATCTAGCTCAGGGTTTTCAAACTTTGGTGCCTGGGATCCACAAATAACAGGGCTCCAGACAAAAAAATCGAGAAAGGAGCCATTGGCTCCTATAAGAAAAAAACTTAGGCGCCAAATTATTTTTTTAAGGTGCCACAGAATAAGCGTGTTTTATTTATTTATTCTTTTTTTTTTTTTTTTACATTTCAATCATACTGTGACTTTACTTTTTTTTACTGTGACATACTTTTCTTTACTTTATCAGCATTTTAATCCATCTGGCAGATGACCTGGGAACTAATGTTCACTTAAAGTGGGAACTAAATCTTTTCTAACTTGAAATATACAGTCACAAAGAATTGTTCATTACACAGAATCTGTACCAATATCGTGGACCATAAGCATCACTTGGCCACTGAGTGTTGTTTGAGCTCCTCCGCAATGCATCCTGTAAATGTTGTAAATGTACACTCTTAAAAATAAAGATGCTTCACGGTGCCATAGAATAACCTTTTTTGTCTAAATGGTTTCATAAAGAACCTTTAACATCTGAAGAACCTTTACGTTTCACAATAGGATCTTTGTGGCGAAAGAAGGTTCTTCAGATTATAAAAAGTTGAGAAAGAGATGGTTCTTTAACCTCTTAAGACCCAGCAAAACATTTTAGGAAAAAAAAATAAAAATTTCATGTCATTACATTGTTTAGAGCATTAAAAAAATTTAAAAATTATATTTCATTCATAAGTTATGTTATGTCCTTGGTAGAGGACATCGGGACTCCATTTCTTTAAAAAAAGAAAAAGACATGAATGAACATGCATAGGCAAAAACTAATTATTTAAAAAAAAATCACAAATACATTTTTAGTTTTCAGGATTTTTTTTTTACCGAACTTTGTATAAGATAATTCTCAACTATTTTTTAACAGAATGATTTGATATACCATTTTTCTTTATGCAAAATGTGTGTAAAATGGCCATGAACAGGTTTTCTCATTATATTTAATGTATCTATAAACTAAATCTAATTTGCATATTAATGTGTTTTTGGGGCAACATGTAATGAAAAAAGAAGTGTAATAATGGGAGTAATAATTGACAAGATTTTCATAATATATAATATTTCATAGGAATATTGAAATATATTTTCTTTCCCTATTCATTTGTTGTGTCTCCCAAAATGCATAATAAACATGCCTTTAGTCCCGGTGTCCTCGTATGAGGACATGTATGAAATCAACATCCTGTTTTGTAACAGAAAGTCATATTTTCGAATTATCAGTCGAATGCTCAGTCAGAGCTTTCTCTAGTGCATAAGCGCCCTTATGCTGACTTTGCTCTGATGATCATCCAAGTATTGGAGAAAATGTGATGTCCTTAAGAACAACGGAACCCTGATCTTTATATCACTTTGGCAATTTAGTCAATGCACTGACCTCCATGATAGAAGCTCATTGTTAATTCTGTTTCTTCAGACATCAGCTCGATGTCTACCGTTTAGATTGTATATGGATTCTTCCTCAGTATCAGTGTAGTTTTAATAGCTATATTGGGAAAAATGTGCTGTAAAGGTTAGTAGAATTAAAGAGAAGACAACTTCCTTATTGATTGTTTTGGTTGCATGAATTGATTGAACTTTATGAAGTATTTACAAGTGCAAAGCACTTGTCCGACCATTGAAACATTTCCAATCCAATAGTTCCGGTTAACTACAGCTCAGCAAGCGTGTCTGGTAGGGATGTGCATCTCATGACTCTGGCCGATACGATACGGATCTCGATGCATAGCCAACGATACGATACATTAAAGATACATATGAAGCAGCTACCGATGCGATACGATTCACCCCTATTACGATGCAATCCGATTTCGATTCTGTTCGATTCAACACAATGCGATTCGATGCAATACGATGCAATGGAGAAAATATGATAACTTTTCATGCCTTGAGGCCTGTTTCAATGGCAATTTAGTCAATGCACTGACCTCCATGATAGAAGCTCATTGTTAATTCTGTTTCTTCAGACATCAGCTCGATGTCTACCGTTTAGATTGTATATGGGTTCTTCCTCAGTATCAGTGTAGTTTTAATAGCTATATTGGGAAAAATGTGCTGTAAAGGTTAGTAGAATTAAAGAGAAGACAACTTCCTTATTATTGATTGTTTTGGTTGCATGAATTGATTGGACTTTATGAAGTATTTACAAGTGCAAAGCACTTGTCCGACCATTGAAACATTTCCAATCCAATAGTTCCGGTTAACTACAGCTCAGCAAGCGTGTCTGGTAGGGATGTGCATCTCATGACTCTGGCCGATACGATACGGATCTCGATGCATAGCCAACGATACGATACATTAAAGATACATATGAAGCAGCTACCGATGCGATACGATTCACCCCTATTACGATGCAATCCGATTTCGATTCTGTTCGATTCAACACAATGCGATTCGATGCAATACGATGCAATGGAGAAAATATGATAACTTTTCATGCCTTGAGGCCTGTTTCATAAAACAAGTTAACCAAATAAACCAGTCTTATTTCAGTTAGTCTGACTCATTGTCAAATGATTTGGTTCCATTAAGCAAATTTAACATAGGCCTAGATCAAGCTTAGTCACTGTGGCAATTTATGCTGGGAAACTAACCTGGTCTAAAGCAGGCTAATCTAAGCTCCTCTACTAATGATATCACCACTCAGTTTATACTATTACTATTATTATTACATACTATTATTTGACCTTTTTCTAGCCATGCAGCCTTTCTCTCTGGTTTTATGACAGCTGTATCTTTTATA